TTTTTTTTTTTTGTGACTGTTATATAACGGGTATCATAGGTTGTCGCACAATAGAATTACAATTGACTTTAGTGATTTTATGAGAACTGATCTCAGAGTATAATAGAAAGGGGTATTCTATGATTGGTAATAAAAACTGATGTGAAAGTGAATCTAGAGAATCTTAAAAAGATGTTATGCTCACTCGTTGCTGTTTATAGGGTACCTGACAGTCAGGCAGCTGGGACGACTATAACCTAACTTGTTTAGCTCAGTTTTCTTGTGGCGCTAAATCCAAGCGCGCTGGACCAACCACGCTAACAGAGACAATCACAAATAGATCAAAGAGAGTAAAGCCTACGGAGCAACTGAGGCGGCCCACTGGGAAGTGAACAAAATGGACAACTGAACTGGCACTAGATATGGCACTGGGTTTTGCACTCGGTCTGGCAATGGGTCTGGGTCTGTCTCTGCGTGGGTCTTTGATTGTGTGTTGTTCAGGTCGGCTTGTGTGGCGATAGTGCAAGAATTCAATTGAATTCATTAACATTACACGTGATAATATCGCTCCACTTCTTTATTTATGATATTGCAATATATACATATTAATTAATGCTCTGATAGTATTTAATACACTGGGAAATATATAATAACTTCATCTAAATAGAAAAAATTGCCAATCAAATTGTAAATACGAATTTGAGATTTTCTGGAATTTATATATTCAAAATAACGTGTTTTAATCAGGCTATTCAATACCTGATACCCACTTATGATTATCAGTTAAACACGTATTGGAATTCTCATGTAAAATCTTCCACTGCTTCAATGAAAGGCATTTTCATTGCCGTACAAAATCTTAATCTTTTGTGAAAAGTGGTTCGATCGCGATAACTCGACTGCAGTTAGGCAGGCAATAATATCAATACCAATTATAAAAGCAAAAAGCAACAACAGCAGTAGCAACAAAGCAAACATATTTGATCGAGTTTTGCATTTTAATTGATTCTTAATGGAAAACTTCTCTTATCACGATCTCGAATTTATGAAATGTTAATTATTAACTGCATATTGAGATCTGTGCAAGTGCAGCCCCGTAATATGAGCTC